CTTTCTAAATAATCTTTTCTTTCTAGCTATACTATCTATCTTTCTAACTGATCTATCTTTCTTTCTTTCTAAATAATCTTTCTTTCTTTCTAACTATACTATCTGTCTTTCTTTCCAACCAATATATCTTTCCTTCTTTCTTTCTAACTAATCCTTTCTTTCTTTCTAACTAATCCTTTCTTTCTTTTTTCATCCTTTCAAATCCATCTTTCTTTCTTTCTAACTAATTCTTTCTTTCTTTCTTCTTTCAAATTCATATTTCTTTCTTACTAATCATTGCTTTCTTTCTTTCTTTCATCTATCTATCATCTATTTTTCTTTCTTTTTTCTTTTTCTAATAATATTTCTTTCTTTCTTTCTTTCTTTCTTTCTTTCTTTTTCTTTATTTCTAATAATCTATCTATCTATCTATCTATCTATCTATCTATCTATCTATCTATCTATCTATCTATCTATCTATCTATCTATCTATCTATCGTTCTTTTTTCTTTTCTACCTAATCCTTCTTTCTTTCTTTCTTTCTTTCTTTCTTTCTTTCTTTCTTTTTCTTTATTTCTAATAATCTATCTTTCTTTCTCTTTCTATCTGTCTTTTTTTCCTTCTACCTAATCCATCTTTCTTTCTTTCTTTCTTTCTTTCTTTCTTTCTTTCTTTCTTTCTTTGCATTTCAGCTTATTAAATGCATTTGAATTAAGCCTTTTTTCTTTTTTGCACTGTTTTGCAATTGTTTGTGCATTTCAGTTAAGCTTTTGAAGCATTCACACGCATATTCCGCAGGAAATGCAATTTTTCTAGTTATTATTCTTTTTCTGAGCGGAAAATTTTCTGACTCTATCTCCTCCTAGAGTTTTAACTCCACATACTCCAAACTCGGCACGGACACTCAAACTGTTCTGACTTAGTGTGCTATATCTTTTCTAACTGATCGGACTTACGGTTTTCCTAAAAATGACGATCAAAGTCGGAAAAAACTCCCATTGACTTAACATTGTGGAATCTTCAGAATTTCAAACTGCCCAACTGTCAAAATTCAAATCTAAATACCTTGAAGCCCCAGACTCAATCAAACTGTCATTCTATACACTATATGAGCCATTGAAACTCATTTAAACTAATGAACTCATCTATCTATGACACTTATCTATCTAATCTTAAACTCTTAAACTCAAACTAAATTAATAAACTCTAAACTTGAACTCTTAGACTCATTTAAACTTATAAACTCTAAACTCATAAACTCTAAATTCATAAACTCATACTCTTATAAACTCTCATAAAACTATTAAACTCATAAATGAATAAACTCTGGACACTTACTCAATTAAACTTATAAACTCTAAACTCATAAACTCTAAATTCACACCATAGCAACCAGTTACAGCACCCTAGCAACCGTAGGCCATAGGCACGAGGCCGCAGGCCTCGTGCAATACTAAATATTGCTGATTTCTCAGAAACTTGTAATGTACCACATTTGAAGAGGCTGACAGGCTCTGTAAGAAAATACCTCACAGTGGGGGAATAGTTGCACCCCTGGGGGGCAGGAGCTGCCCAAAATTGCCCCATTGACTTACATGAAATGGGCCATCCTACACATTGCATTAGGGTTTTATATTGAACATAGCTCTGGATCACAGTGTCATAGAGACAAAGGGGCGGGCTCATTTTACTCATACGACCAATCAGTCTCTCAGGATCATTGTGTAGCTATCAAGCCACGCCCTAGCAACCATTTAGAGCACCTTAGCAACAACTCCAATAGACTTCCATTGAAATAGATTGAAGGGATATCTCCGGATAGAAGTGTCATAGAAATATGTGGGTGGTCTCGTTTGACTCCGGGTAGCACAGAGCCAATCATGAATCACCTCAACAATTTCTGGCCACGCCCTAGCAACCATTAACAAGTACCTTAGCAACCAAATTCTAAAGAGGGATATCTTCCATTCTGAATGTCACAGAGTCATGAGAGTTGATTTATAGTGACAAGCAGCCTTTGGAGATTCATCGCTGGCAGCTGCCAAGCCACTCCCTAGCAACTAAACAGAGTACCCTAGCAACCATTAAGCAAGATTTATATCTCTGCATCAGAACAATGTATAGAGATGGGGGTTGGTTTAAATCATTCATACTGACAAGCAGCCTTTGGAGTTTCATGATTGGCAGCTGTCAAGTCAATCCCTAGCAACCAAAGAGAGGACCCTAGCAACCATTTTTTAACAGCTATATCTCAGCATCAGAACATTGTATCGCGATGGGGTTTGGGTCTTTTGACTCATGCTAGCACACAGGACTTTCAATATGCTAAACATGCTAGCTGTGAATAGCTAAATGCTAATATGGATACTTTATAGTAACCATATGTGAACACTACCAACCAAGTAGCAATACCATAGCAACCACCCAGGACACCCTAGCAACCACCTAGCAACACCATAGCAACCACCCAGAATACCCTAGCAACCACCTAGCAACACCATAGCAACCATCCAGAACACCTAGCAAACTACCTAGCAACACCCTAGCAACCACCAGATAACCCTAGCAACTGCCTAGCAACACCATAGCAACCATCCAGAACACCCTAGCAACCACCTAGCAACAGCCTAGCAACCACCAAGAACACCTTAGCAACACCCTAGCAACCGCCTAGCAACACCATAGCAACCACCAGAACACCCTAGCAACCACCTAGCAACCACATAGCAACACCATAGCAACCACCCAGAATACCCTAGCAACTGCCTAGCAACACCATAGCAACCACCCAGAACACCCTAGCAACCGCCTAGCAACACCCTAGCAACCACCAAGAACAGCCTAGCAACTGCCTAGCAACACCATAGCAACCACAATAGTAACTCTATCTATCTATCTATCTATCTATCTATCTATCTCTCTAACTCTATCTCTATCTATCTATCTATCTATCTATCTATCTATCTATCTATCTATCTATCTATCTTTAAACTAAGTTAAACTTAATTTAAACTTTAGACTAATTTAAACTTCAAACTACTTTAAACTTCTTCAAACTTTCTGTTCCAAACTTTCACAAGCCAACTTAAAGTTTGTCTCGACGAACTTTTTAATCTAGTTTAGTTACTGTTCCTTTAATATAAATTAAGAGACTGAATATCTATTGGGCCTATTTTAGTTATTTAAACTCAATAAATTATTAGAAGATTATATTTCACTCTCTCTTTTTGCCATGCATTAATTAAAAAAAGAAAGAAGAAAAAAGTCAGGAGGTAAACAGATGGCCACTGCTGAAACAACATTAAACTGCTGGCTTCCATTGCTAGAGGGAAGTTTCCTCAATTTCCATGATAATGCTGCACTATACACACTGGTCATTAGTAGTCACAGCAGACCAGTAACTTGGTCAAGACTAAATAGGGACTGCAATCTTTGGTTGCTTAAGATTTTGTTGCAGTCAGGTTGTTGGTAAGGTATGCAAAGAAATTTCAACCCTCGCAAAACTGAGGCACATTACCCTCTCTTTATACGTGTATGGGCATGTACGCATTTATATTTATATTCTTTTGAGGATATTTTTTCCAAGCATTGTAGGCTATTTCTGTAGTATGCTGACATTTCACATTAATAATATTTTCATTTTATTTGATGACTGATTTAAACGCACACGGATTCAATTGAATTGAGTTTTACATACTTTTTGTGTTTCTGCCTCTTCTTCACAGTATTTATTGAAATGAGATGTTGAGAGGTTTAATCAGAGAAGAATTTCCCAAACTGGATGCTTTATTTGTTTATTGCAAACTATATATAACTATAACAAAAACTACCAAAAACAGGCAGGAATAATCTTCTTTAGGCTACTAGTCTGCTTTCTATACTTTCCTTTTTTTTAATTTGATTTTTTTTATTACTTTTAAAGTGGTCCTGTTATGCTCTTTTATGAAGTTTTGTTTTTGTTTTTGGGGTAGAATGTTATCATACTATTCAAAAAACGAAAAGTGCTGTGATTGGTTAGCTGGCCCAGTGTAACGCATGCTCGGGAAATGTCACGCCCCTTCATAACGGCGAGCTCTACTTTTTTTTTTTTTTGGCGAGCTCTACTCAAATGTAAATATCAACGATGGTGTCGTCAACTTCAAAACAATTTAAGTGTAGGCCTAATTCAGACCCTGAAAATGTTAACCAACAAGAGGATCGTCCAGAACGCATTTCATTTACAGCCTTTGCCTGAGTGGTATGTTTTTTGTAATTTTCTTATACATTATAGATACGATGTTATCCACCATTTAATCGTTATATTTGTCAGAAAACTAAGGTAATAGAAACAGTAATCGATCACAAAACCATGGTTCATTTTCCTAAGGAGAGCTGTCTTACCGTCTTACAAACCGTCGAACCGTCAAAAACGTAAGCTTACAAACGCTACAGAAAACGTAGGCTACTTGGTTACGTTACGTTACCTAACCTAACGTAACCTCGGTTGTCTTTTGAAGAGTGAACAAGTAATTCGTAAGTTTAGCTTACGCTACGGGAAAGATCTCGAGAAGACGAATATTTCCAACTAACGCAATGTGAGAGAACCTCTCGTAAGAGAACCTGCTATTCTCTGTAGCAAATGTGCAGCGCACAGGTAAACGTCTGTGTTTTAACATTCAGGCTCGTCCCCTTTTGTGGATTCTGTGGGCGGGGTTATTTAAATGAGTAACATTGTGACTTCATGAATCCCAGAACAATCGCATTGTAGTCCAAATTTAGTTTGTTGTAGTTCTTGAAAAAGGAATCTCCATTTGGAGTGGACTTTGAGCTTTGTGACATTGTAATGTTGCAGTTTGAGCATACCAAAGATCTGCGGACTAACTAAAGTTGGAAAAGTACAAAAACATTAAAGGACCCCTTTAACATCATACTGCCGACTTTTACGGCCTTTGAGATGTTTGAATGTGGACAACTGAACAACACGCATATTGTGACCAGTGAGCAAAGACTAAAAACTGCCACATTGCTTGGCTTTGTCTTACCTGTAGCTTGATGTTTCTTCAAACATTTTCTCCTTGCCATCTTTAAACAGCAGTACAGCTCTGTCTGTCTTGTCCAGCATGTGGCGAATATGGATCCTCAGATATTCACCCTCGTCCCCTCGTGGCACGGCCATCATTGACCCCCTGTAAGGAGCCCATACTTCTGTCAGGAGGGTGGCGGTCTCTGACACCAGCTCGGGGAGGAATGGCGGACTGTTTTTTAGACCCAGCCTGGGGTCGGTGCTCAGTTTATGCAGCTTCTCCAGTCTCTTGAAAACTTTATCAAGAAGTTTGCGGTCTGCACTTGTGGGGGACTGAGACATGGATTGAGGAGCGTCAAGAATTTGACTTCGGCCTGCTGGTCCCGAACGCCTAGCTGTTGCCATCATAGATGAGATGTATCCAATGAGCCACACGTGGAGTGTTAGTCAGCCTCTGTTAATGTTCAGACATGTGTCTGAATCAACAGTTGTCAGAGATAGTGTTGAGTCCACTTCCTTCACACAATTAAAGTGTATTTGATTCAGTTGTCCTTTTGTATGCATGATACAACAATTGATGATTAGTTGAGTCTATGGAGAGCATTGTTTTTAGCAGAGCTAGCATGAAAAGATGAAAACCTCTGATGCTATGACTTATCGAACGGTTACACCATTATTCTCAGAAAAGATATCTATTTTTAGGTAAAGAGAATTATCTGAAAACCACTTCCCTGGTAACTCTTTGTCCTGTTATCACTGATTATGATAAAATGATGAAACAGCAGTTTAAAAGTGGCTGTAATTGTTATGATTTCTAAATCAACTATCATCACAGCAAAACTTTGTTCAGTAATCCAGTTTAAAAATCTTGAATTGTCCATATCAAGGTCCACAGGTCCGGTCAAGTGCGAAAAAGTGATGAGAGATGTTTGTCACCATTGCCACTGTGAAGGTAGATGCCTTTCACAAGGTACATTTTTCACAAGCAGAACAAGAAGAGCTCTATAATTCAAACAACACACCTTCAACACCTTACAAAAAGTTTACAGGTTGGTGCCTGTACATCTTTAAAGAATGTGCCTTTGCTCCAAAGAAAAAAATGCTCCAAAGTTCATGTGTCCTTTTGTCAGGTCTCCGTAACAAAGATGTTGCAAAGAAGCTAAACGAAATGAAAACAGATATTCTTCAGATATTTTTTTTGCTCTCAGATATACCGGCCTCCTGCACCGTCACTCCTCCCATACTGCCAGTCGTTATCTCTCACATTCATACGGTGTATCTCACTCTGTCTGAATGTATCTCTATGACCAAAATTTTGAAGAGGTACTTACACTCATGTTGGTTTAGGACAGGAACTCAACTGCATACATTCACCTCTCTTTCTTTCTCTCTCTCTCTCTCTCTCTCTCTCTCTCTCTCTCTCTCTCTCTCTCTCTCTCTCTCTCTCTCTCTCACTCTCTCTCTCTGTGATCAGTTTCCGGGTAGCTAAGAGGCAGACAAACAGGTTTGTTTTCTTTTGTGTCTGTGAGTGAGCTGTGCAGCATGGGCTGTGTGCAGTTGGGACGCTGTTTGAATTGTGACGTATTGGACAGACCATGTGTGTACAACTTCCTGAACACAACAAAAGACTATAGAAAGAGGGAGATAGAGTTTCTGTGCTGTTGTAGGCTGGCCTTAAATTTACATTATCATTACATAAATGAACATTAAAACTAATAGCCTACCATGTTGATATGACCAATGCCTTTAGAATAGCAAAATAAAACTACTTAAAGTAATAAAAAAAAAACCACAAAAATAAAAACACTAATCAAAGACTAAAACACATCCACAAAAAAAAAACATAAAAAAAAAAAAACGATTTAAAGACTGATATCTTTAAATCTAAAATAAATATATCATATGGACAGCTAGCTAGTATTAGTTAGCAAATATTTTCTCTGATTTAAACATTTGGCTCTTCGTGGCCCTCTAATGGACAAAAAAAAACAACATAACAAGCTTCTATGACAATGCCAAGTGTAACTTGTAACTTTGTAGTTTTTATTTATTTTCATATTTGGGTAACCCATTCTTATTTCGCCAGGATTTCCATGAATAATCCATGGTCTATTAAATAGCTAATCAATAATCCATGGCCAATTAAATAGCTAATCATTACTCAGAATTTAAATTTCTTTATTAAATTGCAAATTTATTTAATTGGCCAACCAATTCTTTCTCATAAGGATTTTTTGTGATTTTTTTTTTTTACGTTGCATAATTCATTTATCCGAAGCAAATTATTTATATGAATTATTTGTGTTGCAAAGAGACACCAGCAGAGGGCACTGCTTCACAGCATTTCATCATCAACCAGAGGACTTGAATGACAAGAGTTCGACAGCTTTTGAAAAATGTGCAAGATGCTTTTAGTGTTCTGAATGAACACTTAGGTTACGTTGACGATTTTGGTCCCTCTTTGATACATAATTAATACTTGCTTACAAATTGATTTACTATAGACTTCATTATCCTGAATATGTAGGGATAGTTCACTCAAAAATTAACATTCTGCCATCATTTACTCCCCCTCAAGTTGTTCCAAACCTGGATAGGCTAAATGTATTTTTTTTTTCTGCTGAACACAAATAAATATATTTTAAAGGATGTTGGTAACCAAACAGACCTCGGGCCCCATTGACCAGGGGGAAAATAGTCAAAGGGGCCCGAGATCTGCTTGGTTACAAACATTCTCCAAAATATCTTCCTTTGTGTTCAGCAAAATAAAAAACATTTACACTTTTACCAGGTTTAAACTTTAAGAGGAAAAAATGACAACAGAATTTTAATTTTTGAGTGAACTATATCCCTATCCCTATATGCAAATATATATTTTTTTCCCCCTTCTCAAGACTAATATGTTTGTAATAGTAATTCGTTACATAGCGTTTTTTCTGGGACCTCGAAGCGTTTCACATATGGAAGGGGGAATCTCCTCAACAACCACCACCAATTAGGTGGGGGGGGGGGGGCATATTATAATGCAACTTAGTAGGCCTATATTTATAGAATAGCAAAGTATATCTAATCAATACCACATAGGTTAGATATATAAAGGCTATCATGACCATTTTGCCAACAATGAACCATGGATTTGTTTAGTTTATAATACGTTTCATTTTTAATTTCAACAAATAAAATGCATAACATTCAAAACGCATTTGAAGAAAAACCGTTTTCTGTAGCCTTGTGCAAATTGTAGAATTAGACTTCTAGAATGTTCTTTCAAGTGCAAAAAATAATATTTTTAATTTAGTAGTTTTTCTTATCATAGCCTACAAATGTCTTCGGAAACTCATTTTCCTCTATTTGCTGAAGCCTATATGCAAAACGCATTTGCAGCTGCACAGCCGTGTAAACTGTATATCTATGCCGTCTGGCTCGCTCATAGGCTGTGCTGCGGTAACAGCACATCCAATGCCACGGTGCCTCTGGCCGCCAAGGGGGCAACAAGTCCCTGAATTTTCCATTATAGCAGGTCTTCGTTCATTCGTAGTCTGTCTGGCATATATTAGAAGCTATGCGTCTTTCATGGATTTGCACTGAATTGATTCTTAAAAATACGGCACAAAGTCCGTTCCGGATCAGTTCAATACGGAACAAAACCTTTATGTGTCAAATATGGAACGATTCCGTATTATACGGAACGGTTGGCAACCCTACCACCAATGAGCAGCATCCACCTGGATGATGTGACGGCAGCCATATTGCGCCAGAACGCCCACCACAAACCAGCTTATTGGTGGAGAAGAGACAGAGTGATGAAGCCAATTATTATATAGGGATAATTAGGAGGCCATGATGGACAGAGGCCTAAGGGGCAAATTTGGCCAGGATGCCGGGGTCACACCCCTACTATTTTACCAGGACATCCTGGGATTTTTAAGGACCACAGAGAGCCAGAACCTCGGTTTAACGTCTCATCCGAGGACGGTGCTCTTTGACAGTATAGTGTCCCCATCACTACACCGGGGCGTTAGGACCCACACAGACCACAGGGTGAGCACCCCCTACTGGCCTCACTAACACCTCTTCCAGCAGCAACCTGGTTTTCTCAGGAGGTCTCCCATCCAGGTACTAACCAGGCCTGCTTAGCTTCAGTGAGCAACCAGTCAGGGTGATATAGCTGGGTGCTAGCTAGTAATGTTTGCTATGGCGCATTCAAATGGAGCACGTCCTGGAAATAGTCCCTGTCAGCCCATTTAATGTTAGTAAACCTACCTTAAAAAATGTCTATAGGAGGCCTACTGTCTATGACAGAGATGGGCAACTTCAGTCCTGGAGGGCCATTGTCTTACAGAGTTTAGGCCCTGTTTACACGAGAACGCTCGCGGGTGAAAACGTAAAAATATTTTATCGGATGTGCCTTTCGTTTACACCCCGACAGCGTTTTTGAGGCTTAAAAGCGCAAAAAAGTGAAACCACCCTCCAGAGTGGAAATCACTCAAAAACGCTCCACCGCCGCGTTCCCGTGTAAACGGTAGAAACGCAAAAGTCTGCTTGACAGTGAAGGTTGTACGCAGACGCGTGGACTTGGTGTTGTTGTAGTATGCACTCCTAGCCGCCTGAAGTGCATACTACGTTGAATTTCACACACTTTTTCACGCGGATTTCCCACACAAAACGCTCGTCTAAACGCAGAATAAAAAGTGATGACGCAACACCACTTTTGCGTTTTCTCTTCAGAATCGTTTCCGTGTAAACATAGCCTTAGTTTCAACCCTAATCAAACACACCTGAACAAGCTAATCAAAGTCTTCAGGATTAATAGAAAGTTACAGGCAGGTGATTTCTTCAGGGTTGGAGCTAAACTCTGTTAGACAGTGGCCCTCCAGGACCAACATTGCCAATCCCCTGGTCTATGAGATCTGATTATTTAAAGGGGGCTGAAATGCTATTTCATGCATGGTGCAACATGACATCATGACTTTTGCGTAAACATATACGCCACTTTCGAGTCAGGTGGCGTGTTATCTCTACGCATTTTGAGCTATCCGCGTGTATCCGCGTGTATGCGTATATGTCTACGCCATTAACGTCCGCGTCATTCCGCGTGTCTGTACATGCAGTCAAATCTCCAGTCATAAATGCCATTAACCCCAGTGACGGTTAGGTTTAGGGACGGGGTTGAGGTAAGTCATATATTTATATAACGTTAAGTCAACGGCGTTCATAAACACGCTAAAAGGCGATTATGCGTCTTGATAGTACGCCAAAAATGGAAATACGAATTGGCGTGGCATACACACGCTACTTCATGAGATCAGTCGGAGTTGGATTCCCTTGCTAAACATGGACAAAGTTTCAAAAATTAAGTTGTACGTTTGATTGAGTATTTCTGTTCTCAAAATACTCCTTCCTGGTTGTAACAAGTTTCGGAAAAGTTTTTTTTCGAGTATGGCGTGACGTCAGACGTAAGGGCACTTCTCTCGGAAGGGCGCGTGCGCAGCTGTAGAGCGATAGCCGTAACCTATGCCCATCAAAGCGCTGTGCATCGGCTGCGCTGCAATATGTCACCAAAGAAGTGTGTTTTCGGTTGCCAAGGGAAGACAACACTACACAGATTCCCAAAGAATCAAGCATTAAGCGACCAGTGGATGGAGTTTGTTTTTCCAGAACATCAACACAGTTGTGCAAGTGTACTTATTAGTTACATGCACTCGAGACCTTGTGTTTTCCTCCCATTTCACTGCCCATCTCACGTTTTTGTGAGCAAAAACGAGTTCTGTATGAACGCGCCCATAGTATTGTAATAATTGTATCGAAATTAAGTGAAAATTAGTCATTTACAATAACCGCTACGCAAATATAAGTTATACAGATCCAGTACACACCAGAGATGTCCTGCTGTAGTCGTTGCTGCTGCTGCTTGTCATCAGTTTCAGCCTCAGGATCTGATTCTGGATCAAAAATGTATGGCTGGATTTGATTGATAGCCATAGCTTCCAGACGCTCTCAATGTAAAAGCTTTGCGCGCTTGCGATTATTTAGCTCCGTCCACACGGCGCGCCTCCACCCGCTCAGCTTTTTACGGAAAGACTCGGTAGAGCCTATTTTTCTTTTATAAATATAATAAAACTAAAGACTTTTTGGAGATATGATAGCAGTATTACTCTATAGGTACTCAAGATTAACATGAGATTGAAACTGAGTGTTTCACCCCCCCCCCCCTTTAAGGTTATTTTCTTACCTTAGTCTCACAAACACTGTAGTCATTTCAAGCACACTTTTTTGGGGGCCTGTTCATGCCTATATGTTAGCTCTTATCACTTTTCCTGCAAATGTGTACCATGCAGCCAATTCTAAGAAAACACAACCTGAGAACAGGATGTATATGGTTGTCCTAAACGAAATTTGAACAAGGTTGAACACACCAGTATTGCTTATTGTCTTTTTCTCTCTCTCTCTTAAGCACTTTATATAGTCCTCATCATGTCCCTCTGTGATTGAAAAGAAAAAACCCTAACATTAACTTATCATTAAATTGAATTGCGTGCTCAAATGAAAAGGTTAATTTGCTGTAGATCTTCAGTTGGCCCATGGGAACTAAACTGGCTGCGATTCAGCATTTGGGTGGTATTGTCACTATAACTGACAAGTTCAGACTCACCGTGGACTCTTCTATCTTGGTGTTTTGGGGACTTTAAAACACCTATATTTTTTTCCGTTTGCAGTTCCATACCCGTTCAACCCCACAGTGAAGGAAAGTCCCAAACTGGCCCAGGTAACTCCAAACCCCTGGTGTGAGGAGGAACTAAGGGGTGTAGGTGAAAAGAGATGGGCGATGCAGATTTTTTTTTTTTGTCGTGTGTGTTTTTGTAAGGTCTCTTGATTCTACATAGAGCAGGATCAGAAGGCTGATGCTAATGATATCAAATTCCTAGCGAACACAGAATATTGAGTAACACTTTATTTGGATGGTCCTTTTTAAAACATTCTGTTGACTATAACGTTACAACTACTTTTCAACTAACTCTCATTAGAGTATTAGTAAACTCACTGTCTGCTTAATATTTGCCAACTCTTTATTATGTTGGTCCTCCAACAGACATTGTACTATAGAAATATAAGTAACTTTGCAAGTACATCAACTTATTCTGACCCTAACCCTACCAGTCAACCAACACTCTACTAACACTCTAATAAGATTTAGTATAGGTGCAACATTACTTATAGCCAACAGAATGTGTTAAAGAGACTATCAAAATAAAGTGAAACCGAACATTGTCCTATTGGTCCTAACATTGGCAACAGTCTCTCTCTCTCTCTCTCTCCCTCTCTCTCTCTCTCTCTCTCTCTCTCTCTAGAACCAAAAGAACCTATCGTTAATGTTCTCTTTAGGTTCTATTTTGTAACTAAAAATTAAAACAAAAAACATTACAAGCTACAGGCTATGCATCTTTAAGAGATCTGATCAAAATGGGGGTGCTTTCCAGATAAGATGCTGAGATGCATGTGAAAGACATGAATTTGCTGTTATCATCGATATGAGTCATAAATCAAAACTCTAATGTAAGAAAATAACCATATCTTATCAGTTCTTATCAATCAGTCACTAATGATCCGCTGACCCAATGTGAATGCGCTGAAAAAGGCTACAGGAAGACAAGAGGTCGAGCCTGGCAGGTTTCCTGACAACAGCTGTGGGGGAGATCCCCGGCGGAGATCCAGCCCGCTTCCTACCAGGCACCAGGGTAAGCAAAATTAAAAAAAAAAAAAAAAAAAAAAAAGAGAGAGAGAGAGAGAGAGAAAGAGTAAAGCTACGGCTGAAAGGAAAGCAAAACTGCACACCTGTTATCCAACAGCTCGCGACACATTCAGCTGCACTAATGAAAAATGATTCAATAGCCAGAAAATAGGCTACGTCAAAATATGCAAAACACTGTCATCTAACAATTAAACCGAAACCGATTCCATGAAATATTTCACTATAAGACGCGTAAAAGTGTTGATAATTTGCATAATATTGCTACAAAATAGTCTTCATCTAACAATTAAACCGAAACCGATTCCATGAAACATTTCACTATAAGACGCGTAAAAGTGTTGATAATTTGCATAATATTGCTAAGTACAAAATAGTCTAATAAATATGCTACAAGTTTTTTTAATCTGAACTGCACCTTCGACAGAGCGTTTAATCGTTTCGCAAATGGGTAGTATAGGCTACATAGTCTGCGATTCAGTTACAGCTGAAAGGGAAAACCCCAGTTCACTCACCCACCTACTTCCTAATTTGAGTGAATGAGAGAGGGAGACTCTGAATTCAGTTCAGATCATAGAGTCAGCGAGCAGCACAGCGCAGAGGTTATCATCATGACTGCAGCGCGTGATCAATAGCCTAATAGTAATAATGCACATGACAAATTGTCATTGCCCTAAAATGACATTCTTCTAATTGCATGTGAAATTAATAAGGATGTTTATTCAGTTCTATTTTTTCTAAACTAACCATTTAATAGAAAACTTTGTGCATACGCGGAGGCTATGAATTTAAATGTTTCAGTGAGCTGTGCTAAAACCTATTGAGCAAAGCGCGTAAGTATGTTGTTTAATCTAGACAGCAAGAGGTGATAGTCATCTTGGGACGGAGTCAAGATAGTCATATTGACACAATGTTAATAAAAGGATTCGTCTAGGACCCATATATCGCCTACCTGAGGACGAGGACAATGACAATGAGCGGCAGTAATCACACTGTGCCACTGGATCTTACCAACAAAACCAGAGAGCGTGGGAGCTGCGCGCAACCGGGAGACCAAGGTCGCCCTAAACATACTCCAGAAAGACAGGTGAAACCGAAGCAAAGGTTCAGCACTGGACTCGGGATTCTTCCCCCTGAATCACGGGACAGTTGTGATGGATCAGTTTCGCAGACAACTCAAACAGATTATGGGGATGTCAGGGCAAGCAGGACGCGCGAGGGTCCCACACAAACCCGACCTATAACTCCGAAGTGCAACAGTCAGACGGACGCTGCAGGGAAACCGACAGATTCCTCATTTTCCACGCGTCCGATAAAGAAACGTCCTTTCCCTCCGGATGTGGATCATGATACCAGTGGTCCAAGAAATATTCCACATAGCCCGGGTGCAAAAGAGTTGAAGGACTCTGCCGTGGGTCAAATACACAAAGATGCACCGCTGAGATTCTCTGACTCGCAGTTCGTAACACCATATCGTAAGTTTACAATAGCCTATGTTTATTTTGACTGCTCTCTCGTATTATATTTTAAGTGCGAAACTTGGATGACTTTGTGGAATTCCACTTGTTCATACTTGGTGTCATTAGTTTGTGTCATTTTGAAAGTAGCCTATGTGTCCGTTCGGGTGGAACGCGTGCGTCGGCAATATGATTGCGCAGTCATGGTCAGTCCAGACTCGAACCTCAGTCAAAGCGAAACCATTGAGCTAATTAGAAGAATGTTTGGTTGAGCTGTTTTCAGAACGTGTGTTAAAATATGCAGGTGAAACCAGGGAGTATTATAATGTATATAATAAAATGACCTGTTCCAGACCCTCCTATAGTTTTTTTTTTCTTTTTTTTTTTTTAAGTTGATAAAAAAAGCTTGTGTGGTGTTATCTTATGTGTGAGAGGAGGTAAATATACAGCGCATGTAACAGTGACTGGTCCAGTATAGGCGCATGTAATGGTGTCTGGTCCAGTGGCAGGCGCATGTAACGGTGACTGGTCTAGTGGCAGGTGCATGTAACAGTCACTGGTCCAGTTTCAGGTGCATGTAACGGTGGTCCAGTATGATTCATATGGCCACAATCTAGATTTGAATATGAGCTGTGAAGTTAGGCTATACAACATCAAACAGCAGGGGTAAAATCTTTGCGTGGCAGGGGGAGCTGCAACTTGACCAGTCACTGTTACATGCGGTGACACTGGACCAGTGACTGTTACATGCGCCTGCCACTTGTCCAGTCACCGTTACATGCGCCTGACACTGGACCAGTGACTGTTACATGCGCCTGCCACTGGACCAGACACCGTTACATGCGCCTGCCATATGTTATGATAACACCTTTAGCTATTTCAGATAATCTAATATAAGCCTACAAATAATAATCTACATAATTATGCTGAAAGCGTCACACATTGGCATGAATACATTCCTGTTACATGTCTATTTCTTGCTCTTGATAGTGTATTATACAGAACAATCTTATTTTGGCATAAAGATAATCTAAACCAAATGTACCCACACTGCAACTTTCCAAAATTGAGCCCAAGCTTTAGCAACTTTTTTTGCAAACATCTCTTTTTACTTCTTCTTTGCTGGTAAAATGTAAGGACCTGGTAAAAAGGTTTTTCATTTTTCATTATGACCAGGCCAACTCTTCAATTAACTCTTTTTCATTTGTGTTGGTTTGATATGCATGCTGTTTTGTTTAATATTAATATTTTTTTCTTGTCTGTAGTTATAGCAGGCTATCCATTTTTCCAGTTGTCTCGGCATTACAGTCAACAGGAATGCATTGCTTTTCCGGTTCCCAATCTTTCACCTCCTCCGCCACTGGAAAGCACAGATCGTCTGCTGGCAGATATTGCTGCGGCCACATGTCAGGATGAAGATGGTGACACGTGAGTCTTTACCTCTTACCATGAGGTCTCATTTTGTGGTATGATGTAGTCTAAGAATTGATTAAGCATAAACAACATCCCTCAAAATTGTCACAGGGCCATTGTGCATTCCATCTGAGAATTTTCAACGGGTAAAGAAGTAGATTAGACCATATTTTATAGTTTGTACTGTATATTTAAATAGTCGGTTTCATTGTTATACTGCACATGATTTTATTATTAGTATCAGTGACATGTAAATTATGACTATCAGTGACATGTACTTTCTGCTTTTTTGGAAATTCCAAATTATCCTAGATGTGTCATTCTGACTCTTGCTTAGTCATCCTGAACAAAAAAAGTCATACATCCAGTGTGTTTCTGTTTATGTTGAATCACAAGAGACAAGATTTTAGTAGGGAGTCATTGTGACCCCTGTTACCCAGTACATTTCATCACAGTTGTTACACTTCCTGTTCAACAAGATCACTGAGCCCACCAAAATCATCTTATCTGGTAATGATCAACACCAAAGAAAGAGATGATCTGTTCTTTACTGAGATTGAGAGAGAGAGAGAGAGCGAGAAAGAGAAAGAGAAAAGGAGACTGACTCTGGAGGAGGGTATAGCTTGTGGGTAAGAGTAAGAGTAATTGAGAGAAACTGGTTTTCGATATTTCACGTGCTGCTGTTTCAGGGCTTGGTTTTATGAGTGTGATAGGTCATGGGGATGCCAGAGATGAGCATTATGGCTCCCTCAGGCTTTGGCAGGAACACAAATACATGTACATGTTACTGTAATATCTGAACCTTCACTTAGTATAAAAATATCATTTCTTATGTGAGTGAAACTTCTCCAAAAATGACACCTGGTGACATGCAATATTGATATCAAGGTTTAGTCAGCAGCAGCTAAAACATTGCTGTGATCATTTAATGCTTAGTAAGCAAATTAAGCTGATTCCCTTTTTGAGAAATGTGATAATATATGGAGCACTGCGTATTTTTACTAACCATATTTTATCTGGCTTATTCCATAAAACAAATACCACTTAAAAGGATAGTACACCCCCTCCCCAAAAATTTGTCATTATTCACTCACCCTCATGTTGTTCCAAACCCAATGTGTGGTCATATCCTCATATGTGAAATTTTATTGAATTTTCTTTACAAAAAAGGTCCACGTTCTATTGCAAATAGTATATTGATGTATGAAGCAGAGCACACACAGAAGTCACAGCTTTCAGTTGGTCAGTAGGGTTTATCAGTTGAACCCATTGCGAAATGTGCATGGGGAAATATTTTGCCCTTACACAAAATTCCCAATTGCATACTGTAGATTCCTATTGAAATGAATGGATTTTGCGTATGAAAATGTGACAGCACCTTTAGACATTCATTCATCTTCAGAACGCAAATAAAAATATTTTGACTAAATTATGCTTTTGACTAAATTATTTTTTTATAGTTAATTTTGCTCTTTTCCATGTAGTTCCAATAAACAGGAACCTCAAGCTTTAAAATGTGCACTAAAGTATCATAAAATTGGTTCATATGATTTTTTTATTCTAAAGCCATATTACGAGAAACAGACCAACATTCAATAAACTAGAAGTCCTTATTCACTGATAATCCGGCCTAGCTCCTAGCTATGATGTATTAAAGGAATCACCCAAAAATGAAAAATATCCCGTAATTTACTCAACCCGTAAAGATAGGCATTTTTGCATAAACATTTTTCTATATTGGTTGAAACGCTCCTCACATCCTGAAAGCAATCAATAATAGAAGTGGTCTAAATTTCAAAACATGTATCTTCTGTGTATGTCATTCGGCCCGAATGCAATGATACAATGTCCTACCTGTCAGTATCAACATATGTATTTCCATACCTCCACACATCCTTTTGTAGGATGTAGTAGACACAGTCACCGGGCGCCATAAACAAACAGCAGTCATCTTACAGTTCCTCCTAAACCAAAACTGCATGCTTATGCTGTGTTCACGACATGTTCTACAATGATCTGACTTATCTCATCTTTATTTACATGGGACGGGTAAGTCCATGGAGGCTTCCATGTCATTCCACCATCTTGAAAAACTATATTAGCAGAGAGGGACAAAAAGCACTAGCCTACCTTAGCGCGTTTTCGCAATGCGTTTTCATTCAGAGCCAGCGTCATGTGACTGAAACCAGCTTTTTTCATTGCTTGGTTGTGTAATTCATTACATAGGCAGCATAACAGTAGAACATGTATAGTTTAACTCAATGAAGTGCTATTGGAAGACATGTTGTCATAGCTTCTTGGTACGTAACGGCTACCATAGTTGCAACACGCATTTGAAAAAGCGAGGTGCTAGAGACAAGGAGGTAATCCATTAGCCGGAAGCTAATGACCCATTGTAGTAGAACTTCACCTGCTGTTAGCATTCCATTGACTCCCATTCATTTTGGCGTCATTTTGACAGCGAATAACTTTACCTCTGAGGGATCCAAAGACTCCATTTGTCCATGGTTTATGTCTAAAGAAAAACGACAATGTATAAAAGGCCCCATTACTTTGTGTCTTACGTTATGGCCCCGTAGAAGCTGTTTTTGTAAAGATAGGCTTACGATTGCGTCATAACCACGGGACTCTCTGTCACACGCATGGACAGGAGGAGAAGCTTGCGGGCAATCTGGGGGACGTGGAGGCATAAAGTCTTAAAGTTGCTCCTGCTCCTACTCACAATCTCTGTCTCTGTAAGATTCGGAAGGGAATGATTCAGATTCCTCTTGGCACAGCTACTAGAATACTTACAGCTGTCAGACAGGTTACTCCCGTCACATCTACGTCATCAGGCTCAGTTTGTGTCTGCGCTGTACGCTCAGCCATCAGGAAGTGAGTGCTTCTAATTGGCTTCACTTTTCTCTGTTGAACTCTATGGGGTCGCTGTGTCCATTTCTTTTACTGTCTATGGCTAGAGAGCACTATTTGTTTGAATGTAAAAATTCCTACACAGTATACCTTTATACAAGCTTTGGATACAATTACAAAACAGGCGAATAATCTCACTCATCCAAAATCTCCGAAATAACTAATAGTGGAGTGCAGCCTTACGGAGAGGCTGCACTCCACTATTAGATGGAAATTTTACCATCGCGTCAGAACTGGTTACACTGTTGTCACTTGCGAAAACCAAATGGCGGCGTGTGGGTGGAAACGTGCAGAATAAGGGATGGTAATATTATAATAAGATCCCCTTCCTACTGTACCTCAAATCTGATCGTCCTATTTTTTACTTTCAGAGAAAGGCTTACCAAAACAAAGATACTGGGTTGTCACTTTTCACGTTTTCTGGGTTGGTAGCACCAGGAACCCGATTATAGCATTTAAACGTGGAAAAAGTCAGATTTTCATGATATTTCCTCTTTAAATATGGATATTTCGCTTACAAAAACCCATTACTTCGCTTCGCTTCAGAAGGCCTTTATTAACCCCCTGGAGACTGATTACTTTTTATGCTGAATGGATGTGCTTTTTGGAGCTTCAAAAACTCAGCCACTATTCAAATCCATTACAAAGCCAGGAAGAGCCAGGATATTATTTAATAGAAATCCAATTGGGTTCGGATGAAAGAATAAAGTCATATACACCTAGGATGGCTTGAGGGTCAGTAAATTATGAGATCATTTTTGGGTGAACTAAAATGAATATCCATTTAATGAGAGTCCATTTAAAGAAGCAGTGATTCCAGATCAAATCGTTCAATGAATCACTTCTATCTGAATGATATAAGTCTCAAATACTGGTTCTGCTCTCAAAGTTCAAATCACTGACTTGCTCTCAAGAAGAATATCAGTGAATAACAAATGTATGTTTGATTCTATCATAAAGAAGATAGAGCGTTCCTGGCATTCAAATGGTACAGCATGGCGCTAGCAACACCAGTGTCATGTGTTAGATTCCTAAGAAATGCATGATAAAATGTAATGAGGCCACAAGTCATACCACTTGTATGGTGCTTTTGCTCATCATTGTAATTTTATGGAAAAGAGCCACCAGTATAATTCTTCAGAATTTCACCTATTATATGTTCCAGAGAACAATAACAATGATTGTGTAAGTTGAAAATAACATGCAAACGATAAGGTGGACTGTTTGGGTGAACTGTTTTCTCAATAAAATGTAGTTGATATTTTGTTTGGCTTTCTAATTGGTGAGATTTTTTTTTAAAACCACAATTCCATCTTAACTGATACGCTGCACTGCTTACATTTTTAGCAAAGGTTTAGTTTCCAGTAGATCCCCATTTCTGTTTCTGACTATTGTTTGCATACACATACTGTATGTCAATCATGCTATTAAATCAACTGCATTTACAAAAACAGAAAAACAACAATCTTTTTTCTCACACACCGCCCTCCCCCCATGTGTGTGCTCTGTCCTGGCTCTTGCGTCAAAGGGTGTCTCGTGCTCTCACCTTGTTTTCTTCTCAGCACTTCACAGACCCTCATTTTCGGGAAAGCCTGATGTGAGTGCGAGCCTGTTGTGTGACTGCGGTTTTTTTTTCAGGTGTCTTTTTTTCTCTCTCTCTCTCTTTCATCTTTTTTTCACTGCTTCGTGCGTTTAAAATGAATGGGCTCAAAAACCCAAACATCCGCTCTTCACTTCCTCCTTTACCGCTTTTTCTCTGTTGCTTATAGCCCCTCCTCGCTCTGTACTGTAAGCTTACATCCCTGTGCCATTTCAATTCTTTATACCCACTTTCTCCTCCTTCGTCCTCTCTTGTAGTCTACGCATTTGTATGAAGCACCACCATAAGATTACAGGCCAGATCATGCATGCTTTAAAAATTCTCTCATCATTTATTTACCCTCACTTCAAACCTGCATAACTTTCTTTATTCTATGGAACACAAAAAGAAGATATTTTGAAAAATGTCCCTACAATGAAGGTCAATGGGGTCCAATGTACATTTTTTGGAACCCCATTGACTTTCATGTATGGGCAAAAACAATATTCAAAATATCTTCATTTGTGTTTCACAAAAGAAACAAAGTGACAGACTTGGAACGACACTTGTTTCTGTTTCACCATCAGTAATGCCAAAGTTTTCTTGGATTCGATTTTCAGGGAATGTATTCAATCCAATAGAAGTCACTTTGGTTAAAAGTGTCGTTTCATGTAGATATTTAGGTTGTATGTGATGTGAAAGCTGTTTTCAGCTCTCGTGGCTATGCAGAGAAACATGACAAAGGGTTTCTCTCATCTTGCTGTTGGAATTTTTAATAGTCTCCTCTATACCCATTCAAGTTTTTTTTTTAAATAAGAGTGGTTGCATTTGGCTCAGGCTGTTTATGTCTTGTCTCAGCCTGTGAGTTTGTTTGCTACAGCAGCAGCAGGTCTGTGTGCTATAGGGGATGTTGGTTTGTGTTTCTGGGCTGTACAGGATGCCACACATGCGCCACTGCTCCGCCATAAGCCCTTCATCTCCTTCTGATGATGTTCAGGTTCCTACGTCAGTCTCAGCCTGGGCCTTATCTGTGGCTGCGGTCTAACTAACTCTCAGTCACTTCCAGGAACCCAGAGAGTTTCATCTGTCGAAAAGAAAGAGAGAGAGAAACTAAATTTTGACCTGCAGTAAAAGTGACAGCAAAGCCAGTGATCATCAAGCAGACATATTTGTGACAAAGAAGGCCAACTTTGTGTTTTGGATAAAAATAATGTACATAAAAATATGGTGGTGATGGCGCAGTGGATAAGACACATACCTTTGGTGTGAGAGACCCGGGTTCGAATCCACTGTGAGACACCAATGTGTCCCTGAGCAAGACACTTAACCCCTAGAGGCGTGCGACCTCTGACATATATAACAATTGTAAGTCGCTTTAGATAAAAGCGTCAGCTAAATGAATAAATGTTAAAACTAAAACTAATTGGCCATCAAATGTGACAAGAACATACAATTAGTTAACATTAGTTTGTACATTAAAGGGGTGATGAACTGAGAAATCAAGTTTTCCTTGAGCTATTGACATCTAAGAGGTCATCATATTATAAGAATATCCTGTAAGTTTCAGAACTGAAAACGTCCTTGTTAGTCCAGTAAAAGCTTTTGTTGACACCAGCCTCAGCAAACGACTCGTTTTTCAAAGTGGGGAACTATGACATCAAAGAGGATAAAACACCACCCCTGCAGAAGAAGATCAACGCCTACTTCAACACGGCCGGTTTAGCCCCGCCCAACGATTCGTGCATTACACGCATAGCTAAATAATATAGGCCTGCCTACCTCGTGATGACAAACCGGGTCGAGAGTGAAACTCATTATAATATGCAAAACTGTTATCCACTCACAGCAGTGGGCGTTTACTTCCAAGTCTTCAATGCAAGACGCCCATAAAAAACGAGCGTTTTTGAGCTAAGCTCAAAACTAGGGTAGAAAATAGCCTATTACTTTTTCATTTTGATGTTTTTTAATGTAAAAACCAAGCAAACGTCATAAGTTGACCTCAATATACAACAATATAAAAAAATCTGACAACAATATAAAAAAAAATTCAAAAGCTGGATCATGACCCCTTTAAATAGCTTTATGTACATTATTTCTATCCAAAACACAAAGTTAGGTTTTTTTCTTTATAACACAAAGTGATATAAAATGTAAAGTATCGTTTTGCAGACAGATTCAATGAAATGCTACCTGCTTTTTTGCTGTTGTTTCTTTCTGTATGTATTCTGTATCGCACAATCAATTTGTACAAATTCATACAAAGTATAAGTAAAAGGTGGCTAATTCGTACGACCTCACTTGTACGAATTCATACGATTTGTCTAAACCCCAGTGATGTTAAAGGGCGAGGTCAGGGGTGGGTCATTTGTACGAATTCATATGAATTGGGCAACTCGTAAAATATGTACGATTTAACAAAAATCTTACTAATTCGTACGAGTGAGGACGTATGAATTCGTATGAATTCGTACGAACTGGCTACTTCGTAAAATTCTACTATATCAGTGTTACAGTTGCAAGGAACACACAAAGAAGATGAAGATCAGGTATAACGTCTTTAATCCACTCAGAAGGTTGGCTAATACAAGACAAGGCAAGCAAACAAAACCAACCGCTATACGGAAACATGAACAGAAAATGGGTGAACAAACACAGCAAACCTTGGGTAATTAATGACACACAGTTGAACCGAAAACTAATCTGTTACCATAACAACTAAAGAGTGGTGGGAAAACTGAACAAAGGAAGGCAGGAAACTGGTTAAAACAAACGAAAAGTCTGTGATAGTGCAACGAAGAATAATCGTGACAGTCAGGGGTCTTCAATTGTTATCAGTTCCGCCCAAGAACCCCTTGGTGAATGCAGATGGAGGAGGGACTGTCTTTTAAATGTTGTATAAATTTGTGTTGTAATTAAGCCTGACCTGTTATTACAGCAATAATGAATTTACTCACTTTATGTTTAAATAAAATATTCAATCCTTATATTTTTTTAAAATTTATTTTATGTAATATTCCCGTGCTTATTCTAAATAATTTATCTGTGCACATCGTTATTTTTTGTCAAATTCATCAAAAACCCGCAGTGATTTCTCATACAGTATCTTCTCCTATGATGTGTTTATTGGCCTTGAGGGGCGGGACAACCTGTCACTCACATGAGATCACAGCAATAGTAAACAACAACCATCCAACAATCCAATCAATTCACAAAGGATAAAATCAAGTCATTTTGTCAACATTTTTTCTTGTTCGGGAAGCAGTGTTCATAGGGAACAAAAGACCGTCACAACTTCCATTTCATGCTGACTTTAATCTTTTCTCTGGTGACGTGTGCAGTTCCCGTCCAGTAACCTGTCACTCAGATTAGATCGCAATTAGCAAACAAAAATAAATCAATTGCTGGTTGACAAAATCATGTCCTGCCCTAGAGTTTGTCTTGTTTGCGAAGCCTTTTTACACAAATATAAGTCCCAATATAGGAAGCGATTGTAATTTCCATTCCATGACTTTACTAGCGCTTACTGAAAATGCAATAGGCAGAGATTTGTTCATTTCGTGCTGCAAGTAGCAGTTTTGATGCATAGAGAAAAAATAAATCACTCTGCCCCATATATGCCTTTGCAACATGACACAGGCCAGTTTTACTCGTTCTGTGTAAACATACAATTCTGATAAACCCGATAAAGACTCCTTGTTACAAAGTTCTTGTCACAAGGGCTGAACACATGGCCCTGATGGCAGAACTGAAAAAGCATGAGATTCCTGAAGTACGTTGACGCTGACCTCACTTACAGGAAAGGAGGCTAATAAAGAAAGAATTAAGCTACTAATAATCTCTTCTGCTTTCTTCTCAAAAGCAAGGAGGAGGCAGTTCAGGCAAGTCATAGCCTGGGTCAGGCCAGCTTGTATTCATTTTGACTAGATCGCTCTTCTCTTCCTCTTTTGGTTTGATGCTTCATGCAGGATTGTATGGTGACTGTTGAGCCAAACAGAAAATCTTCTTCGATCTTATGTTATATATCACCTGTTCTTTTACTCTTGTGGTTAAATGTCCTTCTCTGCTTTATTTCCAAACTCTTGCCACAACGGAATAACCCACATGAGACAATTGCAAACAGCCAATTATAGGACAATGTTTACATTTATCACTAGAAAAATGAATCAGCTCCATAATTCAAACCATTGGCTTCCCCACGGTCTGTGTTCCGGCTTGTTTCATCCCACAGTGACTCAAAAGACAATA